GGATGTCCCTTCAGACTCTCTTGCTCTGCCCTCTATTTAGCTGTGGGCTGTACATTCTTTTAATCTGACTGTTTCCAAACCAGCATGTCTTTGGCCAATCTGTCAGCATACCATCGTACTATCTGCTAAGGTTTTCTCACATACACCTGTTGCCTCCTCCCCAGTTGACTCAACAAACTCCTTCAGGAGACAAGGATCTGCAACCCTGCTGCACTCACCTCTGCTTCAACTCCCCCCTGCCCCCAAGGGCAGCAGCTGCCTTGGCAAGGCACACCTCATCAGCAGGGGAAGAAGAAGACAGTGAAGGTCAGCTAGGAAATAGAAGTAGGTAGGTAGCAGACTGCAGGGTGGACAAAAGGGCAGAGAGAGAGAGGCAGGTGGAGAGAGTTGAAACACATGTAGTCATGAATGCGTGTGGGCTGCCAAGCCTCAAGAATTTGATCACGTGCCCATGGGAGCATTACAACAGCCTTAACTTCAGGGACCAGTCATAACTGCCATTCATTCAACACTGTTGTAACTTTTAATGGTTGCTTAACAAATGCTAATTCACCAGTTTCAGAAAAAAAACTTTTTTGTTCTTGAATAACGGTGATTATATTATTGACATAAGTTATTTATTATGTATAATTCCAGTTTGGTAAATGGAGCCCTTTTTTCTTACAGTTATTATTAGCGAGTTGATTCTTTCACTCACTTGTATTTTAAATAAAATAATAAATTACTGCGGGGGGAAGCCAGTCATTGGAATTTCAAATCTGGGTTGTAAGTATCTTTTTGGGGTCAGTTGTAACTTGGGATAATTGCTAAGTGATCGGTCATAAAGTAAGGACTATTTGTATGACAAGATGTTACTCCATGATAAATCCCAGAGTTGAAAGAAAATTGCACTGAAAATCATGAATGCTATAAAGTAGTTCGATTTAGATATTTTTTTACATTTTTAATCCATCTTTATTACTTTTTATAAATAACTCAAGGTGGCAAACAATACTTTTTCCTCTGCATAATCCCCACAACAACAATCCTTTGAGGTGAGTTGGGCTGACACAGAATATCTGGTCCAAAGTCACTACTAGTTTCCTAATGTTTGCTTTATATACAGTATGTTCAGCTAGAGCACTTCCTGTTTCAGAACCTTCTGTTATTCCAATATTACTATCTGTGCTCCTTCAACTACAAATTGGATGAACAGACACTGACACTTTTTCAATATTATTACATTAAACCAAGTGGATTTTGATTGATAACCTAATATTCAACTAATGCAAAACATCAATCATGGCAAGTATATTAATTATTTAATATTGCAGTCTAATTCAGAAATCAATGTGCTGCATGAGGGAAAGAAAAACTCACTGTTCCCAGAAGACTTAAGACAGGGAATGATTTTTTTTTTAAAAAAAATCTTCTATACTCTCGTGTCTTAGTTCAATACAGATCTTTATTCATTTGCCAATAATATCTTTCCCGTTTCCACTTCAGGACCATTTTATCAGTTTTAAGATCTATAATTGAATTAAGTCTGCTTTCAGCACAGAGCAAAAACAGTTGTGCAAATATTGATGAAGTTGTGACAAGCACAGCATAGGAGACAGACCACTAAAGAGAACAAATTTGATACCATTAGCAAGAAGCTTTGTGTGTCAGTGACCTGGGTTCTGCTTCCTAGCAATTAAGTTCATTATGACCTTCAGCTCCAATATAAATAGAGGACTTCAGTTTTCTGTTAATAATGTATGATGTGGTATAGCAAATTTTGATTATTATTCTACATGTTTCATAAGACTAAATTTTTTCTATGCAGGTTTTTTTAAAGAACAACAGTAACAGATGTTTGTAGCCCATTTTACATCTGAAAAATATGAATAAGATATATATGGAAATGATTGAAAATAGATTTTCAAAATGCATTCAATGATTTGAGCAATTAATATTTACAGATGCTGTATATAATTAGTATTATAATTGCTGTTAGTAATGGGAACATTGAAAATAGTCAGATGCAAGAATTTTGTTATGATACTTTACTGTAGTATAAATCTCTGAATACTCTGTCAAAACCTAGTTGCTCATCATTTTACAAGCAAAGTAAAATAAATATTTCAGTGCTATCTCTAGAAATTCTTCCTACTGTAATACAACTTTTATTTAGAAATTCTTCATTTTTATAGCTTTTACTCAGAATTGTCCTTTGACAGCATCCAAAACTTATTTACGTGATACATGGATAGACCAAATTATCACTCAGAGACAGAGATCCATTAAACCAGTTGAACATCTGGTAAGTCACTTTAGGTCAGTTATTGATTCAGTTAGTATGTTTATATTGGCCATATAATTCTCTAGATAGATAACAATAAAAATAAAAAGTACAATATTATAAACCACATGAAAAGAATTGCAGTGTAAGCATTTTAATATATTTTCACGTCTGTAGTTTTAAAACTGATCTAATGATTTTGAACATCAGAAATTTAATGATAACTTTCATAAAAATTTGGAAAAGATTATAAAAAGTGTCAGGAAAGTCTCTTGGGAGAGCTTTTTCCTTACTTTGACTGAGTTGATTCTTACACAGCTGATTGGTACTAATAGAAGAGATATTTGTAGCTCAAGGTTGAAATGAGGGGTCCTTGGTGCTCACTGAACTTGGTTGTTTTCTTGAGGATGTTTCATTACCCAACTAGATAACACCCTCAGTGCTAGGTTTAATATCACATAGAAGTATGAAAGGGGCAGAGTTTGCATTACAATATTACACTGTGTGTTTTATCACATTGTCCTCTTTCTTCCCTTCACCCCTGTAGATGGCTGTTAATTGATTACTGTAACGCTCTCTACATGGGGCTCCCCTTGAAGAGCACCCGGAGGTTCCAACTGGTCCAGAACGCAGCAGCGCGGGTAGTGACGGGAGCAGCATGGCGCTCCCATGTAACACCGCTCCTGCGCGAGCTGCACTGGCTCCCAGTGGTCTTCCGGGTGCGCTTCAAGGTGTTGGTTATCACCTTTAAAGCGCTCCATGGCATAGGGCCTAGCTATCTCCGAGACCGCCTGCTGCCACCGACGACCTCCCATCGACCCGTGCGCTCCCACAGAGAGGGCCTCCTCGGGGTGCCATCAGCCAAACAATGCAGGCTGGTGACCCCCAGGGGGAGGGCCTTCTCTGTGGGGGCTCCCACCCTCTGGAATCAGTTGCCCCCTGAGATAAGGAGAATCCATGACCTCAGTGCCTTCCGCCGTGCCCTTAAAACCTTCCTTTTCCAACAAGCCAGGCTGGCCTAATTCTTTTTAAGTGTTTTTAATTGTCTGGTTTATTGTTTTAATTAATGGGGCCAAATTTATATATTTTTGTTTAACTGTATTTTAATATTTGTATCTGATGTTTTTATTTGGCTGTTCACCGCCCTGAGTCCTCAGGGAGAAGGGCGGTATACAAATTCAAAAAATAAATAAATAAATAAATAAATAATGCCTACAGGCAGCTGGTTAGTAGGCTAATTTCTAATCCAGGAAAATAAGTCTCTAATTTATAGAATATTGTTTTGATTAAAAGTAGGATATGTTTTGCGCGTAGTCTTTTTTTTTTTTTTTAATTTGATTTATATGCCACCCTTCTCCGGAGACTCAGGGCGGCTTACAATGCGTTAAGCAATAGCCTTCATACTTCTATATATTTATACAAAGTCAGCTTATTGCCCCCATAATCTGGGTCCTCATTTTACCTACCTTAGAAAGGATGGAAGGCTGAGTCAACCTTGAGCCTGGTGAGATTTGAATTTGCAGTAATTGCAGGCAGCAGATGTAAGTGGATGTTAATTAGTCTGCTGAGCCACCAGAGCTCCTTTTATTATTAGCTCTTGTATTATTTCACAATTCCACAAAAACACATGTTGAAAAGGGGGAAAAAGTTCTTCACTTTTTTTGAACCAGCATTCTTTCCTGAACTAAGGTCAAACCAATATATAATTTCTGAATTTCCTTTATTTTGTAATACATCTTTAAGAAAGGCTTATATTAAACCAGTTTTTAAAAAATAAGAAAAAGATTGGTTTATATCTATTTTCATTGCATGGAAAATAATTTTAAATTCTTAAAATTACTTAAATTCTAAAGTAATTTGGCGCCTGGCTTAATTGAATGGCTAAAATGTTTAATGCATGTGATGATAGAGAAATAAAAGCGCTGGTTTATCATGTTTATTTTTTATTGCCAAAAATACAAATGAATTTTTGCTTAAGATAAAAAGGAAGGATTCCTGGCAGTGTATGAGTTCTGTGTTATAAATTTATTCATGAACATTGTGATCCTGAAGTGAATGCTGTTTAGCAGGATGATTAGCAGGATGGTATAAAACAGTGGAGCAAGTTAGCTATAATTTATCAATGATTTAAGTTGGATCTACTGACACAAAACCTTCTTCCTTCTTAATAGAATTAATCAAAGAAGATTGAACAAATTGACACAACTGAAATTTTTATTTTTGTTTGTTATGTACTGTATATTGATTCTCCTAAACCCGCACCACTCTGAAGTTAGACAAATCAGCTGAATTTTTAAATCATGTGCTATTAGTCAACTTTGTTTAGATGTTAAGATCATACAGTTTTACATAGAAATAATGTTCTTATTCCTGGGAGAATAAACAGTTGAATATATCGCAGTTGAAGAATTTAAGCTTGGCACATAATTGAAAACATTTCTTTTTATAAATGGTATATACATTCTGGTTCTAATAAAGGGATTTAAAATTTACCAACTATCAGAAATCATATGCATTCACTTATTGTGTTATATATTTGTATTATGTTTTAGATTTTATGGTAAAGACATTTTGGATTTATACGAGAGGATGCATTTAAGTTTTATTCAATAATATAGCTTCAAACATTAAATCAAACTAAACAAAAGGACAGATCATTATAACTTTTGAAGTTCAACATAAATAATTGTATACCAATGATTAATAATTGTTTATCATTTTTGTTCTTCTATTTCAGAGATGCTGGAAACATCAAAACTGGATTAGAACATCTGGTAAATTCTAATTTTCTCTTGAATATTTGCATCATCTTTGATATCTGCATTCTAAATGAACAGTTCTGAATGAGCTTTGAATCGCTTGAATTGAGAAAATCAACTATTTCCCAGAGGGTCAGCTTATTGTTATTATGTGTGAAGCACTTACATTTTCATTTATCTTATGTTTCAAGGGATTTTAATTTTTTAAATTTTTTGATGTGGAGATGAAATAAAATGGGCTATAATCCTTGGATAGATGATTGCCTTAATTATAAACTAAAAGTTGTTCTTCATTGGGATTTTTTTGGGGCATATCTAGATATGAAAATAACAAACTCCTGTTTTGAAACACACATTCATATATTGCTTATACATTTCATTAATTTGATAGTTTTTAAATGCAATATGAGCTTTCTCAATATGGCATGAATTACTCATTTAAATGATACGTTGTTGTTAAATAAAAGTGTAGTTTTTAATGAAAACATTAAATGCTTAACAGTGCTGTCAGGTTCATAGAATTGTTCAATTAGAATCCAGATAACTTCACTCAGAGTTGCATTTATGAAACAAGCTAGGGAAGGCAAGTGGGTCAGGGTGGATGTTCTGGACACACAGTAGGGAAACAAGATCTGACTGTAATCTGAAGAATAGCATTTTCCTTTCCAGAATACCTGTGAGATAACTGGTTCACATAAAGTATGTATTGCATCCAACTTCTAGGTCTTTCTGAGATAAAAAAGCAAAAGTATTAGATATGTTTGCTGCCTTGAGTTGACCAAAATAAAAAACAGCAACAACAATAACAATTTGTGTCTTCAGACACACTTTCTTACCTCTGAACATACATATGCAATGCTCCTTGTAAGTATTAGGACTGTCTTAGACTTCCCAGTACATTGGAGTATCACTCACAACTTTTTTTTAATGGGACTCCCTAAAGCTCTTATTAAAATAGTATAATTCTGAGCTTCCTGCTGTAGCAGTTTGAGTCTGTCAGTCAGCTCCATTCTCCAGAGACGCTGGCTAAATCAGCCTTAAGATTTCTTGATAATATCTCTGTTAGATTAGCTTCTAAGACTTTGGCCAATACATTGAATTTAGTATTGATTTGCACACATAACTGAGTGCTCAAAAGATATAGAAAATTTGATTTACTTTCTCTTGATGGAAACTTCTCAGGTAGATTTCTTCAGTCTACAGAAATAGTCAGTTGATCAGTAATATATCTGGGTATGCATGATTATTCATTTTTTTGCAGGTGGTTATGGATACAGTTAGTCCTTGACTTAAAACAGCAATAGGGACTAGAATTTCTATCACCAAGCAATGTTTTCATAGCAATGGCAATCCCTGCAATCCCGGTTGCCATGGATAACTGAATACCATGGTTGTTAGGTGAGGCAACTTCCTGCTAGTTTCCTACAAGTCAGTGGAGAAGCTGGCAGGAAGTTGAATGTCCCAGGCTGGCAAGCATGTAAATAGCTGCTGTCAAATAAGCAGGGGAGCAGAGGAGAACTGAGGTGAGGGTTTGTGAGGAGGTGCACAATAGGAACCATATGAGGAGGGTATGTGAGGGTGCATGAGTGAAGTGGCATGGGTCGGAGAGTGAAGGTGCAATATGCATTGGGGAGGATCCATAGGGATGCATGACTGACCGGCACAGTGTAAACACAGTGGAGCTGGAGGAAAATATGTAGATGGTGGTGACTTACTCAGCAATTTACAGTCTTCCTTATTAGCTTCCTCATTGATTTTCTGGGGAAGCCAGCAAGAAGGTTGCAAATAGCGATCGTGCTACTGGGCACTGAATTCAATCATAAGTCCAAACCAGTTGCCAAGCATCCAGTTTGTGATTACCTGCTCATGGGGGTGCTGGGACAAATAGAACTCTAAGAACTGATTGTAATCACCATTCGTACAGTGCCATGATAACCTCAAATCGTCATAGATGAACAGTACACTACATGTACTGTTCTGTTTGTTCCCACCAATTTATTTCATTGCAACAATTCTTGCAATAATATCTTGCACTTACTTGGTGCTGTGGCAGCTACAGTTCATAAATTTGATTCATTTCTTTCTTGGATGGTTTCATTGCTTGTCATGGTAACAACAGTAGATCTGCTGTCTCAGTCTATTGCATCTGGAGATAGACACATACCTACTGATCACCTGAGGAGTTTGATAAAGATTTCTCTAATAGTTCAGGAGGTGCTTTATCCATCCAGAAAGCTGTTAACATTATGTTCATATTCTAAGAGGATTTTTTAAAAATAACTTCTTCCAAATTTTGAACCTGAGTATCTATTCTTTACTCTGGGGTCCTCTTATTCCTGCTGATTTGAAAAAAAAAAGTACTCTGATTGTCTTCCTTAAAGGTTTATTTGACAGCTATTTCTTCCTTTCATGTTTCTATTCAGGAACTTCTTTTTTCACATCTAGCTTTAAAAATATACTGTAGTGGCAAATTCATCCGTTCAGTTTGTTTCAAACAGACTCAGTTAACCTTTGGTATAGCTTCTCTGTGGTATTAATTTAATTCTTCTCTAGGCTGCTTCAACCTATTGGCTATTGGGTCTATAGCTACTCTCTATGAAGCTTGCATTTCTGGTTGCAATCATGACAGTTACTTGAAAAGATTAATTTTTATCTCACAAATAATTTATTTTAAAAAATCATCTTAGATTTGCTGAGAATACATTAATAGAATAAATTAATTAGACTATAATTCAGCCACAGTTAAATGACTGACTTCATCAGTCTGTATTTGGAAATCTCACAATATTTTAACTCCTCATTTTCGACTACTGATTTTTCTCACCGATTTTTCATTATTGGCACATGATAATTTTTTTGCAAGCATTCCAGTGAATCATTTTGGTGATTCTGTTATGTTGTTGTTTATAATCATTTTGTGTAATAATCTCCTGTTGATTTATAATGTGAAATAAAGTATTCGTAGGAGCAGTATTGGAAGAATTCAAAGGTCCACCCAGAGCAAAGAAATCAAACTCTTGCCAGAAATAATTCAGACTGTAGAGGCACAGCATAAATAGGAAGCAGCAGCCTAGCTATTGAATTTTTTTCATTCACAAACCAGGCACCCTCTCATCTGCCTTTTGCTCAGAAAAAACAAAGTTCCCTAACTAAAAAAGTACAATAACTGAAACAAAGAATCTTTGAGCATGTAATACAACACAAAAACAACAGAATAAAGTTGCCAGCATTGAAGCTTGCTCCAAAGAAACAGCTAGCACAAGTATTAAAAGATGTCAATACTATAACATCAAATATAAGCTCACTGCAAGAAACAAACCAACTAGATAGTCGTCGATTTATAACCACAATTAAGCCGAGAATTTCTGTTGCTCTGTTAAGTGAGTCTTTGCCCCATTTTATGACCTTTCTTGCCACAGTTGTTTCGTCATTGACTTTGCTTGTCAGAAGGTTGTAAAAGATGATCATATGACCCTGCAACATTGCAACCATCATAAACACATGCCAGCTGTCAAGCACCTGTGTATTGTGTTTTTTTGGCTGTCCATAGATGTGTGGGAAGATGGGTCCACTGCTTTCATCCATTACTTTTTTTTTTTTAGCTTTCTTGGTTAGGTTGTTAAAAGGTTCTCTTGATTGGATTATCTAGCTTCTGTATTAGGTTGGTTCGACTTTTGTCTGCTGGAATGATGATGATGGTTTGATCCTTATTATGTTTTCAAGGATTACTTTCTTCTGTGAGTTACAGGTAGTCTTTGACTTATGATCACAATTGAGACAGAATCTTGGTTGTTGAGCAAAGTGTCATTAAGCGAAATGCCCAGGTGACCACCACAATTCCAGATCTCCCAGTTGCAGTCATTAAGTGAGCGCACAAGTGGGTTAAGCAATTGCTTGGGGTTGCCTCAGTGAGTGGGAGAGGCTCTGCAGCTTAGTACCCACTGATATGCAGAAAACTGTTATAAGCTAGGAAGCCCAGGCCTTTTTATCCCTCTATGCCCAAATGGCTCAGATTCTTTCCCTACCAAATGCCTGAATTTTGATCATGCAACCATTTGGGCATTGCTTCAGTTGTAACTTCAGGTAGGGGTCATAATACCCTTTGATCAGCAGCAGGGTGGATTTGATTTAAATCACTAGTAAAAAGGCTTGATTTAAATCAACTCGATTTAAATCATAATTTTTAAAGAGCAACTGTCATCTCTGCTACTCCTTTGACCCACTGTTGACTCACCGATAGTCCCAGTGTTGCAGAATATACAGCCTCATGCTACATAACTAAGCTCCATTTCATGCTGAATAAACTAAATTATTTATGTATCTTAAATAGAAAACTATCTTACGATAGATTTTTACCCCAAAAGTTTTTTATTAAAATAAATTCGATAAAAATCAAAAAAATCCGATTTAAATCAAAAAAATCCGATTTAAATAAAAAAAATCTGATTTTTTTGATTCTTTTAAAAAAATCATTGATTTTTATCTACCCTGATCTCTTTAAACCTTACAGGAATGACCCACTTGTCCTTGTGGTTAAGGAAAGAATTCTGACCATTTTAAGTGTTGGGTTGCAGACTGTCATTAATAGCTTGTTAGCCCATCAGTGGTTTGTGGATAGTTACTGCCTTTCAGCAATGTAGATATTCTCCTTGTAATATGTCAATCAATAAACACCAATAGGAATTGCTAAAAGCTCTTCCTGAGTAGCATGTTTCATGTATTTTTCCCAGTAAAGTTATTTATAATCATTGCTATTTGAAGAATTAGGATTTTTTAGTTTATGTACTCATGACGGTCTTACACTGCACTTCATATGTGACTGCAGATATGCTTAAGTAAAAAACAGAATGAGTTGTATAATTAGGACTTAGTTTTACAGATTTTATTTTTTATAAAGGAAATAATATATTTGTACCTTATTCTACACTCTTTTTTTATTTCAATGTATTTTTTTTGTACCGTTAAAAATAGTTGTGTCATGGATAGAGTTATGCTTCCTGAAATGTGTGGAAACT